GGGCCCTCTGACCACCACCAGTAGGCAAACACGGGGTTAGTATCTTGCCCAAGGATATTTGGCATGCAGCCAGGAGGCAGCCTGGGATCGAACCACTGACCTTCTGATTAGTGGCTAACCTGCTCTGCCACCTGAGCTACAGCCACCCCAAATATGACCTTTGTGGTCCTTTTCAAAGTTTTTACTTATCAATTTAAAAAGATCTCAGTATGTAAGGCCCCAGGCAAACAGGCCTAGAGAGTGGTCGGCAACCTTTTGGCAAACACCAGTTAACAAAAGGTTGTACTATACTGAAAACCCTCCGTGCGATTGCTTTGGTTGCTAGCAAGTTGCTATGGTCACCAACCGTTTGCAAGGAAAAACGGACTAGTCTGCAATCAGTTGGAAGCTACTTTCCAAATGAGAAATAAAATTGTGAAAAGTCCATGCGCAAAAGTTGTTCCTTTTGAAACGTGCGGGACGCAGCGTTAAAGCACAACTTGTATTTGAAGGCAAATGTTCTCTGTTTCAGGTTTGAATAGCAATTTTTCACCTTTTGCTACGCTCACTTGCAAGGAGTTTGCCACCGTCCATGCAAACTGCAGCAATTTGATGGAAACAAAAGCAACTCCAAGGTTTTTGGTGTCACACCCTCTTTGATACCGATTTTAGCTGGTGACAGACAGCAGCTGGTCAAAAGGTACACATTTTTTCCTAGCAAACGGAGGTTGACAGGGGGTTGCTGACAGGTCTCTAGGCCTGTGTGACTGAGGCCTAATGGATGCACTGGGCTTTGATGTCGTGTCGTGGATTTGCATAGAATTGATACAAGAGTTTGTCAGTTTATGAATGAATTACTAATGAAATCCTCATCTGTCTAAACTGCACTCTGTTTTTAGTGGCAACAAATGCTAACATGCTAATACAAAGAAAACTAGATAACAATAGACCTGCTCAATATTTCAATGCCATTTTAAGAATTTCAGCGCACTGCACTAAATTTAGTGTCACAGAGCCGCTAGCATAGCTGCTGATTTAGATCAGAAGCATTAGAAGTCTCACTGTATGTAGAATAATTACTACTGTAAGTTCATGATCTGCATTTCATCTGTGCAGCCTCCTGAAAGAGCACCACAGTTTGCTGCTGTAATTGCTAAGGCCTTATTATTTTAACACCATGACCCATGGCGCAGTGTTTAATTTATGTAGCTATCTTAGAGAAGATATTCATAAACTGTTATATGAGCCAAATATTATCACGAGAAGACTCCAGTTGTCACTGTAACAGACAGAAATTCAAGTGATGAGGGACAATAAGGAAAACAAAGCCATCTACCCACAGCCATTTATCCAGTTTCCCCTCAATCTGTTCCATCTGCTCTCTGTCTCCAGCCTAATGTTACTCATTAGTACTTAGTAGTTTTTTCCAGTTCTGGCGCTAAAAACAGAGGATAATGATCTTATTTGCTATTAAATGGCCTTGCTGACTGGGGGTCAAGAGGGTTGGGAGGGGTTGAGACTATTCAACTGTAAGCCTGTCATCCACCAGACAAGCACATGTGCCAATTGAAATGTAATGAGATTAACCACCAGAAGGGAAACAATGCAGGCTTGTCGCCATAGAGGCTAAAGGATGAAGAAGGAAAAAAAAAAAAAAGACAAATTGGCTTAAGGAGAGAGAAACAGTCCAGGAGAAACAGAAAATGACCAATCATCAAAGTCATCAAAAACAAAAAGAGATAGAAGCTCTACTAAAGATCACCGTGGCACAATAAATGGATAGGAGATTTTCTCTGAGACACGGAGCCCATTCCACTTTGTGACTGCCATTGACATCCTCCAGCTAATTAACCTCGCGCACAGTAAGAGGGGAAGAATTAATAGGACTGGAGATGGTGAGAGCACATAGCTGGAAAATGATCCTAGTTTACTGTGTTTAGTTCAGCTACTTCGTAACTGGAGTGTTTAACCTTTTTTTGGTTACTTGCAGGAAACAGATCGCCCTCAAACACAATGATCAGTCTAAACCCAGTTGGCAAAACTGCCACTCAGATATCAGACATGCCATTAACAGACACTTAAGCCTCCTTTGAGTCTCACAAACTCAGCTGATAATGACTGCTGCATCAAATAAGAAGAAGAAAAAAAAAACCAATCTTTTTCCTGTCTTCCTTCCTGACACGTTCACCTCAGCTGATCTGCCTTCTGAACGCCAAACCCTAGCAGTTGTAAACCGGTAAGAGGAGGAAATCCGTTCTCATTTTCCCAACCCTGCGCAACCTTTACAGAGCAGCTTGGCTCGTTTTTTTATTTTTGTTTGTTTCTGGATCTTCCGGGGTTCACATCTGGAGAGAATCTCAAAAAACAAAAAACAAAACTGTGTCAAACTGTGCAAGCAGAGGATCTGTTTACAGATTTGTTTTCACGCAGCAGTGCCGTCGCAAAGGCAGACGTAAAAACCAAGCTTCATCCATTTAGATCCACCACTGGTAGCAAGGCAAGCACAATTTATTTAAGAGTACCAGCTGCAACAGCACCCTCTAGAGGCCGTATATTCTGCCTGCAGAAAACATGTGAGTAAAAGGCATGCTCTCATTTGGCTGCACAGTTTTTGCAACCGTTTGCTCGCCCTCGCCTTTTTGCTCTTTTGTGACAGAAAATGCCACCATTCTGCCTTCATCACAGCAGTCGCCTCAGAGGCGTCCACGGCACAAATCTCCCGTACCCGGGTTTGAGGAGATTGGCTTTCATAACGCAGTCAGTCACTCATGCTGTCACCTTATCACTGGTAACGACTCTAGGTCATTCTCATGTGGGACATCCTTCAGCAGAGATGGGATCTGTTTCCCTCCCACACAGCAGCACAGAGATCAGCATTTGAGGTTATGAAAAAAAAAATAGACAGAGGGGGAGAAAAATAAAGAGTGGACCTTCTGTTAAAATAAACACACACACACACACACACACACACACACACACACACGCAGGGGGAACTGTGGAATCAACAAGCAAAACAGAGGGGTCTTTTAATGTTCCATTCACACACACATCTTTTGAACGTCCGTATATGCACAATGTTGGCTTTTACCACTGTTTCATACAGGCAGCATTGATAGCTTAACAGCACATACAGAAAGGGCTCTCTCTCTCTCACACACACACACACACACACACACACACACACACACACACACACACACACACACACATCACACAGACAGACACACACACACACACAGAGCTTCAGGGAGCATAACATACAGGGAGCACTTTACAAATAAACTTACTATCCTCTATACAGTTGCTCATAAAGTGGAGACATTCAATGCTCAGAGTGGGACAGAGGCGATGGAGTCTTAAACACTCACACACACACACACGCAGTGTATTCTCAGACCAATCAATAATCCATTATGAACAAACTGCTCTTCACCTCCCACCCAGCTCTAAACTGGCAGACAAAGAGGTCTGCTGTATGTGCCACGATGAAGAGAGAGAAATAGACCACAGCCGGATAGGCATCTCTAACACACACCTACAGGATGTTCACAAAAAAAAAAAGGGAACACCACACACACACACACACACACACACACACACACACATACACACACACACACACACACAGGAGAGTTCTGACATTTTTAGGGTAAAAATGCTGTAGCTGGGGAAAAAAACAAGCAAAAAAAGAATCAACTTTTTGTGGTTCACAGATCAGTTTCTGCTCCAGTTGCTGTTAAGTACTATTTATTGACTTACATGCCATATACCAAAAATCCTGTCAGCAGCTGTGAGAAGAAAACACACATAAAACTTTCTTTCTTCACTCTAGAAAAAAAAAAAACATGTTGTGTCAGTAAAATATGTTCAGAATTGTGTACATTATTCCTGCACTGCTAAGAAATGTATGTCATCATCCCTGCAACATTTTTCACATATCTCCACCATAAACCAAAAATATGCTTGTGTGTGTGTGTGTGTGTGTGTGTGTGTGTGTGTGTGTGTGTGTGTGTGTGTGTGTGTGAGAAAGCTAGACAGGAGATGGACTTCCTTTAGAGATGAACTGCAGATGGATGTGGTCCAGATGTGGGTTCAAGACTTTTAGTCCCATTTTGTGCTGGATTCTTCCTGGTAATGCTAGCTGCGATGCCCACAAGTGACTAGTTTTAAATGACTTGTTTTGATTCTGGCTCAGACTGTCTGTACCCACTCATGCCTGATTCTTCTGATTGTGTATTTAACAAATTAAACATAGTCTAATGACAAGCTCTGACCTCCTCCATTTTGCCATCCTGCACCCCACCCCTAAAGAATTTGGTGTTCTCTGAACGAGGTCTGGCAGATTTTGTGACTCCAAACTGAATCCCACTTAGGGCTAATCTATAACCAGATCTCTGACCAATCAGGGTCCGGTGTGGGCTGAGTGATATTATAGTTTTCCCTCTCTTCCTTCTCTTGTCAGAGCAGGTCATTCTCATAAGCAGGAAGAGCAGTGGGGGGTTTTGTGGCATTGTTGGGGTCTCCAATTCCCATCCTATCCCTGGTCCCATCCCTACGCCCCCCACCCATCCCTTAAACCCAGCCAGAACAATAGAGGGGGTCCATGCTGTCTGTCTCTCCTCAAACCGCCACCCCCCTTCTCTGATAAATAGACTGAGAAGGGATCCTGCCTGCCTACTCTATTTGCGTGAGAAGGGCCTTTTGGACAGAAAGATCCCACTGGGTCTCTGTTTATGTATGTGCGCTTTTGTGTGTGTGTGTGTGTGTGTGTGTGTGTGTGTGTGTGTGTGTGTGTGTGTGTGTGTAGGAAGTGGCAGGTGTTTGGGTCAATAAATAATACTGTCATGTTACATTTTAGTGACCCACCCATGCTTGTGGGATTACTGGACGGGTCAGGAAAAAGAAGAGTGCAGTTCTCAGGCCCACACACTAACCAAACACACTGCAATGGAGGCTTTTGTCTTTCAGTACGATTCACTGTGGCTGCAACTGCAATCAAAAGAGACACCTGTTTTTTTTATTTATTTATTTATTATTAATATTTTGGGGCTTCTCGTGTATCACATGAAAATGGATAAAGGCCAGTACTTTTGTCCCCCCTGCCAAGAATTGTGAGAACACTACATTTTCCATTGTTTGATACCTGCTCCCACAAGTATAAAGCCAACAAGCGCTGCCTGCTCTTATGGACCCAACCATCTTCGGCTTCCTCTGAGACACACTGTGTGAGCGTGTGTGTGTGTGTGCGCGTGTGTGTGTGTGTGTGAGTGTGAGCGTGTGTGTGTATAAGTGTGTGCATATTTCCCTCCCCCTCCTTCTCAAACTCTGCCTGTTTTTCTCACACCGCTCGTTAACCCCTGGGTGCTCCTGCCCACAGTGCCCCCCTCAACACACACACACACACCGTCTCTAGCCCTCTCCTAAACCACAGCAGCATTCCTCACACACATACACAAACTAGGATCTACTGTCACCATGCAGCGCAGACTAAACCATCATAACCCTCGCGTAAATTACCTCCAAGTTCAAAAACGAGCAGACACGTTTCTTGCGAAAGACAAGACTTCTTGTGCAAGACTGCGTTTTTTAATCGTTGGTTCCTAAGCCACTAAACCTAACTTTAACCCCGAGCCCAACATTAATCTAACCACAACCCCTAAATCCAAGTCTTAATCCTAAAGCACTGGAGTGGATGTAAGGATGATCAGAATGTCCTTATATAAGGGGATCTTTTTTGATTTTCCCTTACATGGAAAGACATTTAGGGCCACTCAAGCAGAACCGTTCTGCACACAAAAACAAACAAGTCATTTAGAGAGTCGCAGCAGTGTTTGATCAAAGATAAGACGTTTCATTCTTTACTGCTCGGATCTGTGTGAAAGGCCGCAAATGCAACTCGTTTATATGCTTTGTCTCAGGGTAAAACTGAAGGCATTAGGGTTGGGAGAAAGATGAAGAAGAAGCACAGTGGCGAAGGCACTATAGCCACTCGTGCAGTAGAGTTAAATTGAAACTTCTCCATCTCTTTTAACCCCACTCCCTACTGTCCACTCTCCCTGCCTTCTTCATCCTCTTCCTCTGCACTCTCCTCAGTCTCGCCCGCAGCCCCGCGCGACCTCTGCAATCTCTCTGAAGTGTAATTAGACCAGCGACCTCAAAGTTGGCCACCAGTCTTCCACCCTGTCACACTTTCTGATGTAACCCTTTTATTTTGTGGCTTGCTGAGGCGAGATAGTCAGGCGGTTAGCGAGTTTGCGCACAGGTGCAAACACGTGGAGATGTCGCTTGCACACAATCAACGTGGGAGAGGGATAGAGTAAATTTTGTATTGATCAAGCTGTTGCATACTAATGGGCGTCTCTGAGCCTGCGCTAAGTCGCCCAAACAACAGCACAAAGACCGAGCATCACTGAGACAACAGCCAAGAAGATCTTTTTGTAATTGACTCACAAAAATCACAATTAACTAACTTATTGCTTATTTTACCAGCTAGCTATGGCAATGCGATTTATTAAAAGCCTTGTGTTTATCATGATTCCCCTTGCAGCTTTTTAGAAAGGCTGAAATTTTACTTCAGACTGGAGAGTTTCCACAAACATTATCTCAAATTTCAACATCACCCTCCTCAGCACAGTATTTAAAATGTGTTAGCGTCCAATGTTCTGCTGGAAAACGTAAAAGGTGTCCATGCCGAGGTGTTGCATTAGGTGTCTCTCAGAATATGTGGGGCGGTTTTGTGTGTGTGCTTGAATACAGTTTGTTTGGCTGCTGATTTGCTTGGTTATTTGCTTTTTCGTTACTTGCTGTGCTTTTCTTTTCAAACCTTTACCTTTGGGCAAAATCTGAAGATCACATCCTGCAAGAGTTGTCAAGAGCACATATGAGAACCAAACAGGGCAACGGATCTGTTTTTGAGTCCTTGTGTGTGTGTGTGTGTGTGTGTGTGTGTGTGTGTGTGTGTGTGTGTGTGTGTGTGTATGGAATACAGGATGGGAGGGTTTCCACAGAAATCTCCTGATGGCTCTACTACAGAAATAGTGTGTGGGCTCAAACAGCCAGTTGTTGTTGTTGTGGGGTGTTCACACACTGAAATAGAGTACAAGCACACACACACACACACACACACACACACACACACACACACACACTAAACTAACAAAACTCCAAACAAAGTAACCTCAGGGCAAAATTCAATTACTTCCCTTGGAAAAACTGCTACATAGAATACAAAAAAAGTTTAAAGACATCGTTGTATGTGGATTTGCGAATAAGAGCGTAAAATAAAAGTAATGCCATGCTCACTTTTTTTGCTTTTGTGGATGGGAGAGTCGCAGGTAATTATTATAGCTATCATATAGCTTGTTTTAATGGTATATGACAAAAATATCAGGCATAATAAAGTCATGGCTAGCTTGCTGAATTAATGCCCACTGACATGGTGCATAACTGTTGTTTCTAACAATGTCAGAGTTACACTATAGTGGAAGTAAGATTCTCAATAATTGCACCAGACTACAGTCTACGCACATTTCACACAGGAACTTCACTTATTTTTGGTCAGTTCAGTTATACAGCTTTGAATGTTAGGTGGTAGGCAAACATAGCAGAGCACACTGGCGTAGCATTTCTATCCATCTGTGTGTGTGTGCGTCAGCTGCTTAAACTTAAAAGTAAATGTAAAGCTGTCAAACAATAATAATATATAGGTAAATATATAGCTAATACATTTAAATAACTGAGTAGTCAAATGTGCATGAAAACACTTTGTTGTGTGTACTGCTAAGTTAAAGCTAAGCTACATTAATAACCTAACCCAAGCCCACACAAGTTTCACATTCTTTTGAAACACTTAACCTGTTCCACAGATATGAAGTCACTGCCAGCAGATCATTAGCTTAATTAGCGCTCCTTCTTTCAGCCGATACCTTGAACTTCTGATTGTTTTTGGCCTAGTAGGTAAGTGGCACTTCCCCTTTATAAACCCACGAGGACTAAATATTCAAAGACACCGTGAAGAAAACAAGTTCATAAGCATTACTTTCTATAATGAAGATTTCTAATATAGCACACAAAAAAGAAAAAAGCCAGACAAAGACAAAGGTCAGGTAATGATGCCCACATTTGCAGTGTTTAACTTAATTTATCTCTGTGTAAATACCTGTCCAAATTATTAGAGAAAACTAGAGCTTACTGAGTAGTTTCTGATGCACTATTTTTCTAGAGGTACTTATCCTCGCAAACCTCTCAGATGAGGGGGAAACCACTACTTAGGACAGCCATACAAATGTAGAGCTACAACTTGGCCAGTCACCCATTTGCTCACTGAGTAATGATGTAGCTCACACAGAAGTACCTTTAACCTGCATTACATCTGAAGGCCACCAGATGGTGATAGTTGTGATTGCAAAAAGACTTCAGCTCTATAAAAGTCTATGGGGAAACAGATTTCTGACTTAGCCCTCGTAAACATTTTACTGTTTAATTTGTGGGCTCAGTTACTCATTTTGGGTCGTATTGGATAAACAATAGAGTCTATTTTGTAATCTATTTTTCAAAATAGAGGATTATCTGTGGTATGAAACCACACTGAAACTCACTGGCTAACAACTGGTCAGAGGTCTTTAACCAAGTAGGTTTAGAGTCAGACCCGCCCCTCCTCATCACATCTGGGGGGTAATTTGGCTCTCAGGATGACAACAATGGAAACGGTCGGGGGTGTTAAAAGGGCACTTCAAAAACAAATAGGTAATGTCACAGCAGTTACAGTCATCTTTTACACAGACTGTGCTACTTGTATTGTTAGTAAACCACAATAATTTAAAGAACAGACATGGTTTGCCATCTTCAAAATGAAAATTTGCAGTAAATAACTGAAAACAAGATTTGTTTTTTTGTTTGTTAACCTGTAAAAGTTGAAATTTGAGAAAACATAACAAGTTTAAATTTAGGACTGGTTTGTTTGTTTTTTTGCTTCTATGCTGTAAGAGTGCGTTTAAAAGAACAAAGAGACAATTTGCAGCGATGTAGCAACATTAGCTAGGAAGCTAAGCTAAGCAAATTTGCTTAGTTTGGAAGCTAAGCTAATTTGCTGGTGTTAGATTAACATTTACTGCACAGACAAGAGAGGTGTATCAGTATACTTTTCTATTTCTTTCCTAAGCTAACACTTTTTTAGCATACAAAGCAAATGTCTATAAAATCACTGACCTAGAAACATAGTGGGCCTTGGGGGATTATTACAGTGGGAATATGAAAGTGACACCACCGCAAATATAAGATTCCACAAAGTTCACTGAGGTTACTGTAAACTTATTATTGACCATTATGAGGAATATTCCGGGAGTTGTTTATGTGTCCGTGTGTGTGCACGTGTGTGTACGTGTGTGTGTACACTGACTGTAACATCTGCCCAGGATTTCATAGCCAAAAATAATTTAAAAAAAGAAGCAACAAGCAGGAACTGGGGATGCAAGATGAGAATAACAAACATTGTTAGTCTTTCATGTGGGACAGAGTTTTTCTAAAGAGCGCACTAAAGCTACATGCCATATTTCAGGCTGTGCACAGGCTGACAGGCATTACTGTTAGTGTGAGCTTATGTGGCTAGGTAGTTGTGATTGATGGCTGTATAAAAAGAACTGGAGATCCCATCTGGGTCACGTCTTATCAGGCTGACTGATTCACATTGATGAAATCATGCTGGCTTGTTAACCCGCCCAGTGGAAAAACCCTAAACCAATACAGAGGAAAACAAGGCAGCATCAGAAACAAGAGAGGGAGATAGATGCATGTCAGGGAGAGTAGAAAAGGCTGAGCAAATAATGAGAAGGAGGGCAGCAGAGGGAAGATAAGTGGTAAATAGTGATGTAAAGTCATGGCAGGAGATGGATTAGGATAATAAGAGCTGACTGAGAGGAGCGAGAAGGGAAGATGTGGGAGATCGAGGTAGAAAGAGAGAGTGTGAGAGCTGCAGCATTGGAGCTGCACACTGCAGATGTCCATTTTACAGGCGTATGCAATATTTTTAGGAATTTGGACTGCAAATCACCACTGTCTGTTGAGAAGATTGGTAAGAGAAAAAAAAAACTTTTAGCTCATTAGTACTGCATTTTCTCCCTTTTTTTTTGCTTGTAATCAAATTCTTCAGGAGAGCAGAGTCCAAACACCAATACCAGACATCACAGCGATTATTTGCAGAGTAACCACAGCACAGGAAATTGGCTAGAATGCACTGTCTCTTAACATTCATCCAACAGTCCTACAGAGACAATCTGCTAGTATAGTTACACTGTAACAACCCCCTCCCCTCTTCCTCCAACCAAGCTGTGCAGCTCAAATGTGGATGTGTGCGTGTGAACATGCATGTCTGTTTGTCACGTTTCATATACCTGCATGAGCTCTTAAACACAGGAAATTTTCTTACTTTGTTTTGATATATTTTACTTGAAAAATATTAAATCAAACAGGCAACAACAACAAATCTCCCACTACAGATTTCTAATGTTTGTACATAACAGTGAAAAAAAGAGATCTAAATCTGCTACTATATATACTGATGGAACATCTGTCTTCAGAGGTTTAACTGAACAAGCTTGTTTCAAAGAAGCAGCAGCCAAAAGTCACATTTGACAAGTTTTCTTGCAAAACATGACAAAAAAAAGGAAGATGAACAACACCTGCGTAGGTGACACACAAAAACTCCAAAACATGAAAAACCTGTGAATGACTAAGTAAATTACATCCAAGACACTTCAAGTGTTTCTAACAGATGAATATACATATGACAAAACAGGGAGGAAAACACTCCATATGCATCTAAATCAGCCCACAATGTCAGTTTATTTTCCCTCCAGATGCAGGTGGGCCTAAGAAAACCAGATCACTTTATTCTACTGGCAAACAAGCAGAATTATGCAAGCTGCCTGTTTGCAATAAAACTCCATGCCACAACCTGATCTGCACCAGTTGCACTGTTTACATAGTAGTGGGTTTACCATATTGACATGTAGAAGCAAGCAGAACGTATACTGGCATGAACGTCAGGCTGCCACCCTGTCTAGTAATAGGTTATGTGATAACAAATAAGTTAATGATAACAAATTGCTGTATTCAAGTATCTTGTACATGCAGTGTATGAGTTTGTGAAACTATAACAAATTCTCTAATACTTCTGAAACACTAGGTTTTCAGACTTTTTGAACAACAGTTTTAGTAATGAAATAATTTTTGTAGTTCTTATATTTTCCTGTTATTTATTATTGCTAAATAAAAACTGAAGCTTTCAGTAGAAAAATCATTCAGTGGTACTTTTAATTTGTAAGGTCTGTAGTATACAATATTAAATTCCTTGAGGTGATAGCTGCTGGGCATCAGCGCTATATGATTAAAACAGCTGAATTTTATATATTTTGCACCTCACTGACTGATGATAAACATGGTTTATCATAGTACTTTGATTCAGATTGAAACACGATGGCAACAAAGGTATATAACAACTATAAAGAGTAGCCTACTTGCCCACATAACTTTTGCTCTGTACAATCACACACAGTTCCATCATTAAGTTAGCTTGACATCTCTAGTTTGTAGAAATACCTTTTTTGGCTAACGTTTGTGTTCCAAGATAAACTCTACACAATGACTTTCCATTAACTTTTATTGACGTTCGAGTATTTATTGAGATAATACTTTCATGAGCATAACCTGTACTAAATGTGATTTTCATTGAGCACCAAATTTAAATTTGTTAGCAAATGTAAACATGTTAAGATGCTAAATCTGGAAGGTTAGCATGTGTTACCTCTTTTAAAAATCACAAAGAGCATGCTGTTACTCTAGCTATTGATATGCTACCATGCTTCTGGTAGCTTACCTCAAAGCAACTTTGGGGCTAATTATGGCCTCAAAGAGTAATAGTGTGTTTAGACTCTTTCAGAGTCAGGCTTTGCCTTTTTCTTTAGCTGTCACAGTGTGTTCATGGAGCTACAGTAGTCTACAACAGACTTTATGAAGTTAATGAGCAGTGTTGGGTAAGTTACTTTAAATTAGTAACTTAGTTACATTACTAGTTACTTCTATCAAAAGTAACTCAGTTACCTCAAGTTATTCGTTACTTTCAAAGTAACTAGTTACTAGGGAAATTAACTTTGGTTTTATTCAGAATTCTCTTATTAATGTGTTGCTTCCATAACTGGATACCAGCAAGGATGCCAGTCTTCTAGCTTGCTTACATGTTAGTGCTATCCTGCCACAAATGCACTGTGTCACCTAATGGCCTGAACCTAAAATGTCAGTGTAGTAGTGTGAGTGCAAGTTAATGATGAAATGAATGAAACTAAATTAGAAATGAACAATGTTTGTTTTTGTGTCTCACTTTTTATCTGTCTGTTTTAATCTATTTCTATTGTTTCAAACCTCTATAAATGCAAACACATAATTTTGGGGTTGATGCAACAGTGTTATAAATCTAATCTTTGTACGTAGTATCACTAGGAAGAAGCAGTGGATAACAAAACACGACATAAACTTTTGAAAGGTATATTTATTTTTACCATTGAAATGGGTAGAAAGTATACTTTTAGCAGTGCCAACACTAAACTGTACCTCAGACCATTTAGGAGCTGTAGGTATCAAAATAGTGCAAATAATTTAGTGCAAAAATGGTTCAACATAAACACAGTGAGGTTTGTCCATTCTTTGTAAACTTAACTGAAAACAGCTGAACTGCACCAACTGGAGACCTCATGTTCAGTAATGGCGGGCAAACTTAAAAGTATTTTCAACCTCACAAAGAAAAATAAAATAATAAATATTTTTAGCCACATAAATAGTCAATATTTAACCAAAATAATATTTCCTCCAGTCAGGTCATGTAGATAAATAAAATATGATGGTAGATTTAGTGCTTCAGTGGTCTAAGATTCTAGCCTACGTCACAGCGTCACGTGCACTTTTTATGTCCAACACGGAAACTGCAGTCGTGGTGCTTTCGATTGTACTCGGAACTCGGAAATTCTGCCTTCCGAGTAGGAAGATGTAGGTAACTCCAGACTGCAGATGAGCTGCATATGTGTTTAATAGTAATTTGTTTTTGTAGAGGGCTAGCAAAACAACCGTTTTCGAGGGCGTCGCCATATTGGAACCCTGACTTCTCTGACGAGGCTAACCAGAACGCCGTTTACTCGAGTGTGACATCATTCCCAGGTCCGTGTTTCAATTTCCGAGGTAAGTCGAACGCAACACACGAAGTAACGAATAACGACCCTATCTAAATCCCAGAAACGGTAAACGCGTTCCTGATTTTGGCATAATAACTAGTTACCGTGCTCGTTACCACAATAATAACGCAGTTACTGTAACGCGTTACCTAATAACGCATTAGTCCCTACACTGCTAATGAGTTAGTTTATCATTCAATTCTGGACAGAACATATTGTTCCTGAAATATTATGTCTGGTGCACCAGTGGTTAAGGCATACCACACAACCACAATGGCCATGGTTCAATTCATGATCAGAGAAACTTTGTAGGATCTTTTAATTCACTGTGTTCCATACCTTTCTATTGTGTTAACTTTTTTAAAAATGTAAGATGAAAAACCTCCTGAAGGTCAAGTCAAACTGTAGAAAAAAAGGCTGTCTGGCAACTTTGCCTGTGCTCGATCTCGATGAACTCTTTAACTTCCAGGAGATATCTGACTGAATTTGAATTAAGTTTTGTCTATCGCACCAAGATGACTGTATATTATATTAAAGAAAAACTCTAAGACAACGAAGGGTTAGAGTTATGTGCTTAGCCATAACCATTCAAGTTATGTAGTTGTAGCAATCTACCCATCAAGTCTTCTTTTTGGTGAACAATCAATTTTGTATTCTGATAATGAAAGTCTGAGAAAAAGCCCAAATTCTTAATTGTAGCAGCTTGACGCAGCTCACCACTTAATGTTGAGTCATTAAATTGGACAGGCAGCTGAGGATAATATAGGATAAGGCAAATATTGCATCAAACAGTGATGTTTGCACAGCTTTCCCTAAAGAGATCAGAAACCTCCAGTGGGAGCTGCTTGCATTACCCAGGCCATTTAAACCAGGCAACCAGCCACCTAACCACTGCTAAAAAGCAACAGCTCACACATGAAGTGAGGGACAGAGGATTGAGGATTACACACAGTCCCCCTCTCCAAACTGCACCAGTGGACAACTTTACACAACACATTGTACTGACTGAAGATGGCAGGATGGGTTACTAAAAATGGACACAGCTAACTTCTAATAAGAAACATAAACACATGGAGGCAGACACAAAGTCTGCTGATAAACCTGCATTTGCAATAATATCAATTCAAGATAAGCAGGGCTCTACCATACAAAAAGGAAAAAGAAAATATGGCACTGTCATAGCAAGAAATATAGTTTAGGATCATATATGTGGTCGTACACGTGGACGATAATGTGGAAGCATTGGAAAGAGTCAGGGCAGGAGACTAAGGAAACTAGTTGCTTATATTTCCAGTGTGATGCAGCCTAATTAATTACGTATTTATTGTAGAATTAACCAATACCTCATGCACTGAACTGATCTAATAAGGCAGTCTAAATTAGTTCCACACATTTAGTAGCAGCACTTGTTTTAAGCTGCCCATAATAATTCCATTGACGTTTGAAAATAGAAACAGAAGTTCTAAATTTGAACTTAAATTTGGCCCAAACTGATTTTTTTTGCTCATACAAGTACTCTAATTCATCCACACAGCTCCGTAAAACCTCCTCCTTAGTTCTACCTCTCATGGCACAGAGCTTGCTACCCAGATACTTAAATCTGAGTACACCACCTGCTTCTGGGACACAAACCAAATTAAAAAAAAATCAATATGCATTTAAAGGAGTCATATCAGTATATGTACAGCAGTAAGCCAGTACGACGTTACAGATAGCACAACTATAGCAGTGGTTTAAGGGGGAATTTACATCTCACAGTGGTCTCAGTATGATTCAGTGTAAAGTAATGCATTTACTGCATTAAAATGTTTTGGGAGTTTTTTGACCCACTTCCAGATTCTAGTTTCTAGACGAGTCCTGACCATGAGGAGTTCTGACCTTGAGTCTCCTGTTTCTGTGTTTGAGATTATGCCCGAGATTATGACTCTGTATATGGGTCAGATTTTTTGTATGATTTATTAAGGTCTTATTTTCAAGGGAAGCCCGCCTTTTGTGACCATCCTTAAGACTATTAATTAGGTGATTTTGTACAGTTGGTCAGGTATAATCCGATGGGATTAGCGGCTACGCTCTTTAAATAGAGGTCTGCAGCCAGGGATTAGATGATCGCAGCCAGTTGTATTTAAGAGCAACAGATTTTCATCTCCTCGGTTTTAGTTTTAGGGTAAAAGAGCAGAAACGGCCACTGCGCTGTTTGTTGCTATGTGCAGCATTTAAACGCGCAAATATTGAAATGAAAATCTGGGGTATTTGCTCTGCTGGCCTCATTTCTTTTTAGCAGGGAGTTTGTTAATAAATCTTTGCTATTGGGATGGGATTAGCTGGTATGGTCTAGGGCTGGGGAGGGCAGTACCAGGGGCCCTTTTACCTTCCTCCCTTCAACCATCCTCCTCACATCTGGATACAATGTAGGAACAGGGCACTGAGGCCAGGCAGATAGCTAAAGGGAGGCTGTCTGTGTGCTGAGGGATTCTTTACAAAGCGTCAAGAGTGTTGCTGCATCTGCTGCTAGTAGCTGTGGATGTTGGGGTGTTAGGGTTGTGTGTTGTGGATGGGGGGTGGGGGGAAAGGTGGGGAGGGGGTGCTAAAAAGCTCCCTATCTTTGGTCTCTTCTTTCCTGTGTAGTTGACTGCAAGGCCCGGAGCAACAGACGAACAGAGAGACAGCTGGGAACAGAGGTAAAAAGCAGACAGCAACCAGGAAACACAATGGGAGACCAAAAACAGGTTTCTGTTCTTAACAGGCTAAATGCACTGGATATGATGCTGTCAAAGATTAAATACAGTTATAACTGTGATATTACTAAATGAATACTAAAAATGAAAACCACTGAAGCTGCAGATTTTTTTAATCTACACAAAGTTTTTCCCAAATTCTCACACAAAGGCAACTTTGCCACCGACTGTCCAGAATGATGTGTGTGATGTTAGTAGAAGGTAATGTTGCCTCCAGCTAATAGCCTCAAACACTCAAGCAGGCTCAGTAGCTGATTAAGTCAGATCACTTCTTTCAATTTTCATACATCCATTTCTTTCTTTCTTTTTCATATTATCAGATTTGTAGTCTTTAGTCCCAACTGATGCTAACTCAAGTGGCAGCACCTGAGGACATTTGCTAGACTTCTCATTGTTCCCTTGGGAGACAAAAAAAAATAAATCTTTTAGTAACTTTTTTTCCTCTTGAAAGCGAACTTTACTTTTAATATTACATAATAGTTTGCTCTAAGAAATAGACAAACATAGGCAAAGAGCTCAACTAGTCTCTACATCTTCAGCTGGTCTCACTTGAAAGAGCACACAATGCAACGTATGTCACTCCCAGTCATAACAACGCTTCAGTATTTGTGCTACTTCTGACTGCAAACTATAACCTACCAGCCATATGGAACAGACACAGAAAGATAAAAAAAAGTTAAAGTGATAAGGTTGTTTTCCCTTCTCCTTCCATGTACAGGAGAATCCTCGAGAGCAGATCACAGACACGCACATGGCCTCCAATCTGCATCCAGATTGATTTCATCACGCATGCATGCTTGCAATTCACCTGGATGTCTGAGCCACACTGAGATTTCGGGTGAGCTGGCTAGTCTTTGGGCGACCCTCTTCCCCCTCACCTCTGTCCTCAGTGAACTTGACGCCTGCTTGACCCAGAGCACCTCCTGGTCCTACTTCCTCAGTGCCTCAGAGATGATGTAATCACTGTTCTATGACTGTCCCTCTTCTCCAAGAGGGCTTTAATTTTGCTATAGTTGAATAGATAGTGGTCTCAGAGTAAATATTACCCAAATTTGGATGTTTTTCTGTTTTTGTTTCTTTGCTCTTTCTTGTTATTCATTCTATTGATTCATTTTGAGAAAAAGTAAAACATGAACATTTGGGGAGTTTGTTACACCAATTGTT